GGAAACCCAGCTATTACTACAAGGTGCATACCATTGCACGCACGCCCCAGACGTTTCCATATAGATATCGAACCTTAGGTTGGATTAAGGTAGGACTGATTATTTTATATTAGGACGTAATATTATTAAAACTGAGAGTAGGCGCATTGAATAATTATTAAGAGAAAGTGGTCTAAGTTACGCGATTCGTATTAACTATCATTGTGTGTGTTTGTTCATTCTAGATTCTCGCTATTTAAATTTATCTAAATTGTTAGACATTGAAGTTCTATTCTTCATAAAGTCATATTAATAATTTAAAATGTCTATTCGTTTCGTAAACCCTACACCTCTAGCTCACGCTGACAATCAAAGATACGGTCACCAAAGGGGGGGCTGTATCACAACCTTAAGGCGAAGAACCTCTGATCGGTTCGACCATTACAAGCATATCTGCTTTCTCTGAGTTCGTGTTGTTTGTCATAATATAGCCTCTCTGTTTCCATGCGAAATGAAGCTCATCTGAAAGCTACTTCTTATTATAGAGTCCTTCTGGTGTCCGATTCGACGCTCAAACGAATAATTTGCATTATCGTCCCTTTAACACTATCTCCAGAAATTTTGCAATGAGAACCTTTCCTTCCATACTGGTTCTACTCTTATAAGTCTAAAGTCTTATCAGCTTTGTGTGATTCATCCTTTTCAATGTCTTTGCTGCATTAGGAAAACGCTTCCAAACTGGCTTACCTATGTTGTTCTATGTCGTCTAGGTATATCCTATTTCCTGGCATGAAGTTTTTTCATTTTAGTTGAGATACCCTATGTGTCAGGGATGGCGAACCAATTGCACGCGTCACAATATTTTAAATACGTCACGGATGAAATTGGTTTCCATTTTAGTCCAAAATATCAGAGTTCACTATGAAGTAATCCTCATGAGGTATCTTGAAGGCGCGTTTCAAGCTAAACTGTATGTTTTCATAGACGATATTGTTACAAGAAATTACAAGTACGTTCCAAGCTTGAAAAAAATATATATCAAATCTTTAGATGTACATGAGAAATTGACAAAACAAATGTATTGAAGAAATTATTTCCGTAATTGATTCTTCAATCAAAGAATTTTCAGTCTTATTTTCTTAGTTCAAAGAATTATCGGTCAAATTAAGTCATATCAGGGTACATAATAAACAAATATTGTCCCAATTCGACTAATTGGAAATTTAAGAATTTGAAATGCAACTGATTGATTTCCAGTGTAGTTCAACATCGGTTAAAAATTTATTGAAACAAGGAAAAAGTTGGAATTGATATATAGTAAAAATACCAGTAATGAAATTTTGGAATTCGATTCTAGACACATTTAACTGTTTGAAGAAGCTGACTCATGCTATTATAACCACATTAAGACTCACTTAGAAATCGTTTGACAGATCACTCCAGTTCAGAGAGCATTCTACTAAAAGTAACATTTTATACTCCTAATATAAGTTCTTTGTCATCTATAATCTGCAACAACAGAACTCACACTAATGTTACTTTAATTTGAATTACACGTATAACTAAAACATTTATTACTAAACAATGCAAAATGGGTTTTTTTTTGTAGTAAATGAAGAGTTTTGAGTTGTTAGTATTTAGTTTTATTATTTTCCTAATAATCATTTGTCAAAATTATTTGACGGCACGTCTGTACCTCATTATAAACATTTTTTAAGAACAAATGGCACGTTGATTCGTAAAGGTTCACCACCCCTGCCCTATATAATATGACAATATTATTGAAGAAACAAAATTCTATTTTTTATTCATTAAAAAATACGTTTCTTTGAAAACAGCATTCCATTTTAAAGAAAATATATATATATTTAAATACTCATTTTATACGCTAGCAATTTTTCAAAGTTGTATTATTACGTTTCCTACCTCAAAAAAAGTATTTGATCTAGTATATTTTAGAAAGTGTTAATATACGTTACAGAAAGGTACATTTAGTTTAAGTTGACCAACTAAAATTTAGTTATTGATCATTTAATGTTTTGCATTGAAAGCGTTATCGATATGAATTTGAACTTCTAATTTGTGTATAATTCAGTGTTTCTCAAACTTTCAATAACTACGGCACAATTTTCAATCATAATTGTCATCTCCCCCCATACAATAATAATGCGTATAACACAATAAAAATTTACTTTGAAGCTAAAGCTACAATACAACATTAATTATAAACCATACAAACTATCAAATATAAGTATTACATTTTGTACATGACAAACCCACGAGAGTCACTAGTAATATTAAACTTGTTTTTAATTTAATATTGATAAATTAACAATCAAAAAATTGTGAAGTACTGATACTTTTATAAGTATATTATATCCGAGTAAATGGGCATTTAATTTTTATTATGTCAGAATGTGCGTGTGTGTGTGAATTGTGTTTTACTACCTTCCAGTAAATTAATACTTATTTTAAATAATTTATACTCTCGAATTTTTTCAATAAGCTTGCACCACCCTTACAATGATATCACGCCCTCCTAGAGGGGCATGCCCCACAGTTTGAGAAACGCTGTTATAATGGAATATAATGAAAGTTTATACACATAATTTCATCAGAAAATTTTTTTCATGCAAAATGTAGTTCTTTTTTATTGTTGTTGTTTTTGCCAAAGAGAACGCTTTATTTCATATTCTTAATTCAAGCTCTTTGCTTAAGCATGGATAAAAATAAATTCGTATAAGAAATAGGCGTAGGCATTCAGTTTCTTTAGAGTTTTATCTAGCACACTGTAAAAATATTTTAAAAAATTAAAATCTTATACTTATGAACAAAAAATATTATGCAGCTGATGATCTTTTTATTTTTTTTAAACTAAAAGGGGTTTTTTTTGTCCATACTATAATTTAAAAATGTATCTGATATGAAAAAAAACACACGTTATATTTGGAATTATAATTCAATAATATGTAGGGATATATATTCTAATATTTTGTTTTATATTTTTGTGTAGATGAATTGTTTAAATTAGTTTATTAACCCTCTCCCTGCATAGCTATTTTATCAAAGTAGTTTCGAAAATTGTGTATTGTTTCATTACGTATTTTCAAATCTACATACTCTAAATCTATATTTTAAAGATTAAATATTCAAAAAAAATTGTAAAAGAATTTTTATTTTAAAATATAGACTCTTAGATCATCAAAAAATGGACATAAAAACATTAAGTGAAAACATAAACAGGAACAAAATAGGCTGTGTAGCTAAAAAGTCGGAAAAATATACATACCCGTGGAAATCACGGGATGCGCAGTGAGAGGATTAAATAATTGGAAAATTCATATACGTTGAATATAATGACACATATATTTCACTATGAATAATTTATTGACTTGCCAAATGGTGTATATTGATTATAAGTCAGTTAATCAAAACATTTAACTGAATATAAATATATTACTTATTATAAAAGAATAAATCTTTGCCCATTACATTTGAAAAGAATGCATATATGATTTTTTTTCCTTTAAAAATGCGGGAGCTGTGATAACTCAGTGGTTAAGGCATCGGATCATGGCATGCACATGTCATGAGTTCTTGCCCAGTACCACTAAAGACCCGCCGTGTAAGGGAGCGATGCACGTAAAATCTGTCGAGAGATCAAACGTCCTCCCGTTGGTGTGGTGTGGTAGTTAGGAGAGGAGGGTGCCAGCTCAGGTGTCGTCCACGTCACTTGACCATGGTTCAAAATTAAGTGGTCCGTCGCCAAAAGCCCTCGTGAAGCTGATCAGTGAGACGTTAATATTCACTCACTCACCCTCTAAAAATGCATAAAACACAATTAAAATTAAATAATGAGATGAATAATTTAATTGCAAGGCTGACTCTAGCAATTTCATATGACTGCAATAGATAACTGATAATGTCCAAAGTAAACAATAAAGTTCTGAACACAAAAATAATTACGAAAATCAACCACACTTGAAGGGCGACCATTTAAAAGAATTTATGGTGAAGCAGTCCATACAATAGTGTCTGACCCTACAAGAATCAATATCCCATTATAATTTCCTCCATTGTCCGAACGCTAAATTTTTAACGATCAAACGCTTCTGTGTTCCATTCATTACTGCACAGTAAAGTGAAGAGCACACATCGCCAGTCTTTTGTTAGTCTAAAGTTCCAACTATGATAAATGCTGGTGTGGTACACTTCTAGCGGTGTCTAGTAGTTTATCTTGCAGTAAATAATTTCGTCTGCGCC